CTTGGGTATGTGCCTGGCATGTTGCGTAAATGTCAGCTGTCGCTGCAGCACCCATCACAGCATATAGGAGGACCTCCTTCCTCTTATGCTGCCCCCAGCCTGTGAGAGATGTAGATAATGACTGTGTTCACAAGTATCACAAATGCCCAGTATACACCAGGGGCTCAATAAATGCTTGTTGGAGGCAAGCAGAGCACAGCCAGAGGGGTGTGTGTCTGTGTGTGTGTCTGTGTCTGTGTGTGTGTGTGTCTGTGTGTGTGTCTCTGTGTGTGTGTGTGTGTGTGTGTGTGCGCACTGACCGTGCCATTTTCCGGATGTGTGTTTCACGGTCCATCACTTTACGTCTTTGAGCCTCTGTTACCTCATCTATAAAATGGGAGGACTCATTCCTCCCTGGAAGGGTGAGTGGGGCATCCCCAGGGCTCCTGCGCCTCAGTCACAGGGTGAAGGGATGATACCAACACACCCAGAGGCTATCTGGTAGGTGCACAGTGGACATAATGGTCCACAGAATAGTGCCCACCAGAGCCACCGTAGCATCTGGCAGAGAAGACTCAGGAGTGAGCTCTCGTGAGTCACAGGTTGGGGCTTCCCGATATACTCTGGTGAGGCTCACAGGAGCCCAATGGCTTAGAGTGGCAGACAGGGCCATGAGTCGGGTCATTGTCTCTGTGTCATCAATGATTCTGTGTTTGGTAGGCTTGCTCTAGACTCAGAGGAGAGTAAGACCCACTGGAAGCCTCTTCCCCTCTGCTAAGATTTGAATGTGTCCCCCAAAGTTTACATTCTGGACGTGTAATCCCCAGTGCAAGAGTGGTGAGATGTAAGACCTTTAAGGGATGAGTAAGGCCATTATCACAGGAGTGGGTTGGTCATCATGGGATTGGGTTCTCGGTAAAAGGATGCACTCAGCCCCCTTCCCTCTTGCTCTCTCTTGCACAATCTCTTATCCTTTTGCCTTCCACCATGGGTGATGCAACACAAGGGCCCTCTCCAGAGGCCAGCCCCATACTCTTGGACTTCCCACTCTCTAGAATCATAAGGCAAATACATTTCCATTCATTATAAATTACCCAGTCTGCGGTATTCTGTTATAGCAGCACAATATGGACTAAAACACCGTCCTTTGCCCCAGCTCAGAAAGTTACACTTCTAGCACTAGGTACTGCTCTGTGCTCTTGTACCATCTCAGACAAGACCCCACAGGAACTCTTTGAGACAGGGATTGTTATCACAATTTTGGAGATGAGGAAACTGAGGCAGAGAAAGGTCCCCAGAGTCACACAGGTAGGGTGATGGAGACAAAACAAAATTGGAGTCTATGTCTGAGTCCCTGAGCTTTCTACTTAGGGAGCAGCCCGGCCTGTGGTTAAAGCTGTGACCCCTTCCAAAGCCAGGCCACCAGGGGTCAAAGCGGCCTCTTCCCCTTTTTTCTCCTTGCCTCAGTTTCCTCCTCCAGAAAATGGGAGCAATAGGACCTACCTCATCAGAATGCTGTGAGGATTAAGTGAGGGCTGTGTTTAGTGACCGGCAATCCCAACAAAAGTGCATGCTAGTCCTACCAGGTTCCTCCCTCTCTTAGCTGGGAGGACTTATGCGCATGTGTCTCTTTCTGTCTTATTTCTCTCTCTTGCTCTCTACCATCTCTTCTGAGGCATATCTGTCTTGCTTTGAAAAGCTTCTCTTTGTCACTTTCCTCTCTATCTTGTTCCCTTCTGGGTCCTAAATCCTGGCTCTGAGTTTCTGTGCTGCATAAACTTGAGCAGAGCACGGGGCAACTCTCCCAACAGCGGATGCCCTCAAACTTTGTAGAAAATTCTCCCAGGGAACTGGTTGCAGAGTTCTGGTTCCACTGCAGAGAATCTGATTCTGCAGGCCCAGGGTGGGGTAAGAGAATCTGCGTTTGAACCACTGTCCTCTCCTCCGCAACCTTTCACCCTGTGACCTCCTGGGCTGGCTCTTGAACTATGCTTTGAGAAACACTACATTTGCCCTCAGCTTCCTCACCTGTCAAATGGGAGTAAACAGAACCTACCTCCCAAGGTCATAAAGGTGAAATGAAATAATTTGTCTGGAAAGCAAACCTCTTGTTTCTGTCTTGGCTTTCAAACAGTTATTTCGTCTCTGGCCTTCCCATTCTGTGTTTCTGGTGGTCTTCCTGTTTCATTCTCTCTCCTGTCTCTCCCTACCGTCTACCTGGAAGTAGAACCAACTCCAGAGCCGAAATGGAAGACATTGAATAAGTGTAGCCCTTCTGTAAAGCCCCAAGACCATCCAAATGGCCTGTCCAGCTCCTTCCTATGTGCACCCCAGCAGTCCCCAAGACCAAGCATCCCCACTCCTGCAGCCCCCACAGCAACAAAGCCGGGGAAAGATGGGGATCCATTGTGCAGGAATGGCCCTGCTGCTATGGAAACCAGTGCTCAGGAAACGCTCAGAGATGATCCATTCTGGGGAGCGGCCTGGCCTTGGGGGAGGGGGAAAGGCCAAACTCTGCACCTTGGACTTTGCCCTCCCATTACCCGCCATATGATGCTGGGCAAGTCACTTAACCTCTCTGAGCCCTCCTCTCCCTCACCAGGCCCGGAGCAGCAGCCCCCATTATCAGTGGGTGATAACCGCCGCTGATGACTGAACGCTGCCCTGCGGCTTTCAAGCCTGAAGACACGCCAAATTGCCGTTTGCTTTCATTACTGCGAGCTCGAAATATTCTAGTGCCGGCTTGCTGCATGACCCCGTGCCTCCGAGGGCCATCAAACGATTTCCATGATAGAATTCCCTCTCGCAGAGGTGCAGGGTCCGCTCTGAGTCACTCTACAGCACACACACACACACACACACACACACACCGCACATATGCACACACACGCCGCACACACACACACTAGCTACTGAGCTAAGTTGCCCATACGCCCGCCTCACCCTGGTTGCGCTTCTAGGAAGGGAAGAAGTGAGTACAATGTCTCCTGATTACTCCATCAGTAGCGCCCAATGCTCTGCAGCTGCAGAACTTATCTGATGGTGCGATTCCCTTCCTCAATGTCTCCCAGGACACCTCCCCTCCAAGTTCCCTCCCACGGTTCCCTGTGCCTCCAGGCCTAAGTCTAAGCTCCACAGCCTGACCTTCGAGGCCCCCAGGGCCAACTGTGCCCTTGTTCCTAATGTCACCCCTTTATATTTGCAACAGCAGTCCCTGTGAAGGCAGGGATTCTGTTTGCCATTGGAGCTGCTGGAACCCCAGTGCCTGGATCAGTGCCTGGTACATCCTGGGACCAGGGAAGCAGAGGATAAGGGCACGGGCTGTATGAGGGGGTGGCTACTATGTGCCACCCACCCCAGGGACATCAAGTAAGATCCTTACCCTCCTGTGCTTTAACTTCTGACACACTCTTCACAACACACAGTAGCACATCACACACATACACACTCTCAAACTCACACACACAAAGCAATATAAACACACATCCCACACTCCCCCCTGCACAGACATGCACGCCATGGTGCAGAAAGAGCATCGGACCCCCTGGCCATCTGGCCGTGCCCTGAACAAGCTGTGTGCTTTCCTGCCTCCTTACCTTTGCTCATACAGTTTCTTCTTCCAAGAAGCACTTCCAACAAGTTCTTCCGGAGCTCTCAGGGATCCTCCGCACCTGACTCCTCCTCAGTAATCAATATAATTTTTCAGAGAATGCAGTGACTTGCCCAAGGTCACACAAGAAGTGTGTGGCCGCAGAGCCTGTGTCAGAACCCGGCCCTCGGGGGAACACTGGGTCCAGCTGCTCCGAAGAGCATCCGTGCATTTATTCCGCCGGTCAGGCGTCTGTTTGTTTGTTTTCCCAGCACACACTTATTACGCCCCAGGCAGGCTGCTCAGTGCTGGGGACCCAGCCATGAACGAGGCCAGCGCATGCAGCCCAGAGAAGCGGACAGATGCTAAACAAGTAATTACAAGTGTGATGGATGCCACAAAGGAAAAGCAGCGAGGGCCCTGGCAGGGGACAGTGGGGATGCCAACATCTCCCATTTGTACAAGGTTTGCAGAAACCCTGCCGCAGTGGTGGTCCCCAGCCCCTCGCATCAGAATCCCCTGTTTAAAGGCCCCAGGCATGCAGACCCAGCACTTCTGGGGAGGGCTGTTTCTTCCCAGGAAGGACCCTGTGAGGTCTGAGAACCACAGCTTTAGAGGCCTGGGTAAGGGGGTCTGAAGACAGCAGATGTTTTCTAATTATCCCGAGCTCTTTCACTTCCTGCCAGGCCACTGAGGCAGGCAGCATTAGCCCCATTTTACAGAGAAGTGAACCAAGGCCTGGAAAAGCCCAGTGATGAGTGAGTGCAGAAGAGGGATTCGAACCCAGGCCTGTCAGACTCCAGATCTCAGGAAGGTCAGTAAAGATGGCCCGGCTCCTGGGTGCCCAGCACACAGCCCTGCCAAATGGGCTTACGGTTAGAAGGGAAACAGCTAGCACTCAGTGACCCCAGGTGACCGAGGACAGGGCGCCACTCGTGCTCTACAATAGAGCACGTTAGTCACATGGTGCTAAGCGGCTCCGATATTACAGTGGGTGTCCAGCCAGGTGCCTCCACTGAGCAGGTGCGTGGCCTCAGGCAAGTTGCCTAACCTCTCTGGGCTCAGTTTCCTGTCTGTGAGATGGGGACAATTGTGGCGGTGAGGAGTTTCTCTGCTTAGGCCTCCTTGCCTCCCCTCTCCCTCTCCCTCCCTCTGCTCCAGCCACACCAGCCTCCCAGCCTTCTTTCTCAAACACGCCAGGCCCTGTCCCTGCTCAGTAGCTTTGCACATGCTGTTCCTTCTGCCTGAACACTCTTCCTCCACATAGCTGCCTGTCTCCGCTCATATGTCACCTTTTCAGAGACCCCTCCCTGACTCTCGGAAGAAATCACCCCTGCACCACCACCCTGTGTCCATCCCCCACCTCCCACTTGATTTTTCTCCCCTGCACTGTCACAGCTTTGACTCCCACCTCCCCTCATGAGAATGTAAGTTGCAGGGGGGTAGAGGCTTTGTTCAGTTGTTTCACCAGCCAAGGCACTTGACTAGGGCCACCCAGAGTTAACATGCACCCAGGGCTCAAGCCAGCCAGGCCTTCTGCATTGCCATGGCCTGTGAGGCCCCTGGCAGCCCATTGGAGGGGTCTCTAAGGCATCTGGAAGGCTGGTTCTAAGTATCCCGCCCCTAGCCTGGTAGACAGTGGGCATCATCAGAGCATGTCTGTGGCTGTGCTGACCTGCTTTCTGAGAATGGACACTGCCCAGGCTTCCTGGACCCCAGCAAAGATGCTGAAGACAGGAGCAATGAATTCCCCTGGGCCCCCTCCCCGAATGGCCCTGAAACTGGCAGGCAGTGGGAAACCGGCCGCAGGCTTGGCAGGGGCCTGGCAGAGGCTCAGTGCTGAGGGCCAAGGGCCTGCCAACCTCACTCCCCCAAACAGCGACCAATTGTCCTGGTGGCGCCCAATTTCCCCGAAGACCTCCCGGCGGCCACTCTCCCAGGGACGCCCGCTCTCAAAGGGACCAGCAGTCTGACTGCTTCTGGCCACGACCACAACCAAGGAGGCTGGACCAGCATGGTGGTCCCAGCTTCACAGGAGGACCCGGGACTTCCGAGCCCTGCTGGGAACTCGCAGCTGGGTGCTTGGCGAGGACAGGCGAGGACAGATCCCAGGGGCGGGCCAGTCCTCTTGGCATTTGTATGCAGGGCAGGCCCACGAACATGAGCCAGAATCTATCCACAGAAAACAAAACACTCAGGGACAAAGCCTCAGAAGACGAACTGCTGCAGGGTGAAGGTGGTGGCCGCCCCTGCTCGCTGGGTATGCAACGTGTCTCAGGTCCACTCTGGATAAGCACTCATCCAACCCTCAGACAGGGAGAAGGGACCTGTGGGACCACCACGTCTCAGAAAAGGAAATGACGGGAAGCCATTTGCCCAGAAGAGGGAAGCCAGGATTTGAACCCAGGTCTCCTGGCAAGGCCTTAACTACTGTGCTACCTCCTAAACCTCCCTTCATAGCGATGAGGAGGAGCTGGTCACCAGGAGTCTCGCTCCCATGACAAAGTCTCATTGGTGATCCCGAGAGCAGTGGGTTTGAGTCCTGCTGTAAACCACCTGCGTCAGAATGGGATGCAGGGAGCTTTCTAGAAAGCCCATTCCCAGGCCCATTCAGACCTGTGGTGACTGGCTAACCTGCATTTTTCACATGACGCTACTGGATTCTGAAGCACACAGGAGTTTGAGAACCGCTGGCTGAGGCACGATTCTGACCTAGACAGAACTGGCACCTTACCTGTCAGGAGAATAGACCTGAGAAGAGCCGCTCTGTGGGACCCGGAGCAACAATAAAAATGGCTGTCGGTTGGTCACTTACTGTGTGCTAGGTCCTCTTTTAGGTGCTTCATTCCCATTTCATCCTCAGCACAACTCTATAGAAGAAGTCACAGTATTATCCTCCCCATTTTAGAGAGGAGAAAACTGAGGCACAGGGAGCTTAAGTTCCCTTGCACAACAGTGCATCGCTTGAAAATGGCAGAGCTAGGATTAGAACTCAGGTGGAGGCTCCAGAGCATGCTATCTGACTGCTTCCAACCAACTCCATCCTGGAGCCCACAGTCTAGTGTGAAAGGAAGATGCAAACACAGGTTATGAAATTCATAGGCATGTGCCCCCAGGAAGGGGCCTGCATGTGCTTGGGAAGCACAGGAAAGGGACTTTTAACCCAAAAAAAGGAAGTTGGTTAGAAAAGCCTTCTTAGAGGGGGCGCCCTTGAGAGACGGGCTTTGATGGATGAGTAGGAGTTTTCTGGGTATGTGTTGAGAATGCTGCTCTTGGAAGAGGGAAGTGGGTACACAACGTTATAGAGGTGTGTTCAGAGAAATGGCGTGTGACAGCCACATTGGGGTGGGGGAGAACTTCACATCCTCAACAGGTGGGCAGGGAGGGGCCATCTGTCCTACCATTCTCTGAGATTCATGCAATGGTTTGGGGGAGGTCCACCTTGATCTGGGTGACCCCAGCACCTGCTAAGTGCCCAGCACATGCCTGCTTACATGCCCTGTACATGACTGTTGGGTGCCCTGTACACGCCTGTAGCACTGAATGTGAACTAGGCCAGGTATGTTTTGGTGCCGGGGGTGGGGTGGGTCTCAGGACAGAGCTTCCCAGGGGGCAAGCTTTGGGAGCTCTCCTGTCCCAGCCACATCCCCACACTCACACATCCACCTTCCTGGGCATAGAGTCCCACTTACTATCATGTGGCTGAGCAAACTACCACCCCCTTCATCTTCTTTGTCTGTAAATAGAACTCCTACTATGGAGCAATTAGAGAAATTGGGTCTAAATGGGACCACTCAAAGTTCTTGGGAAGTGGTTAGGAAGAGGGTCAAGTCAGGGGTGTGGGTATGAAACCCACCTGGATCCACCACTTGAGGGCTGCGCAGACTTGGATGTGCCTTTCATCCCCACTACTGCCCAATGAGGATCAGAATTGTATGTAACCATGTGAAGGTGAAATATGCAAACTGCCTGTGCACAGTGGGCCTCAATATACAGTCACCGGTGAAACGTGCTAAGATTGGTGCCACGACCCCGTATTCGCTCAGCAGAACATCGCTAACTCCTCCTTCCAGGGCTCGAGCTAGGGGGTTGTATGTGCCTGGCTGGTGCCCTGGCCTCCTCGTCTGGAGCCTGGAGCGGGAGGCCTTTGGGCTGTGTTACAGGAAGATCTGAGCTGTAGAGCTGGTGCTGGCGAGGAAAGGTATTTGCATCAGATAATGGGTAAAGTGTCTTGTTATTCCATTAACTTGTGTAGCAACGACTGCGGCAGAGGGAGGGAGCGTTGGAAACCCGCAGGGTGGGCAGAGGATGAGCTCACTGACCCACAGCTAAGCCAGCAGGGGGGACAGGAGCTGCAGGGGTGGCCTTTGGGCAGAGGGGTGAGGGCAAGGCTGGGCCTCATTCTAGACCTTAAGGTAGGATCCCAGATGGGGGCAAAATCAAGAAGCACATGCCAGACACCGCCAGTGCCAGTGCCTCCCCGTCCCTCACCCCTGATTGAACTCTGAGTTCCTGGGACTCAGAGGCTCTGACCATGGCCACAGTATTCAGCCCCCTGAATAAAAGCGCAGATGCTGGAGCCCTCTACAGTCGGGGGTTTGAATCCCAACTCCACCCTTTACAAGTCTGGTAAGTTGCACAGGCACCTAGCATCGCTGGGCTTTCTATTAAATGAGATACTACTACTCCATCTCATCCCTCAAGGCCATGTCATCACTCCTCTGACAAATCCCATAGAGTCCCTGCCACGTGTCAGGAGCCTTCTAGGCACTGGGGGCCAGCAGGGAACAGCAGGCACTAAGTCTGGTTCTGATGAAGTTTGCATTCCAGGTGGGGGAGAGTGCGCATAAATAAATAAGAGAACCATGAGAAAGTGACAAGTGCTATAAAATTTGAAAATAGGATAACAAGTGGGGGGTATAAGGAGGAGGGGTCTTTTAGAGACTGAAGGAAGGATACTCTAGAGGTGGCATTTGAACTAAAGCACAGGTGACATCGATAGCCTTGAAGGGCCAAGGTTGGACTCGAGGGGCACGTCCGAGGAGAGGAAGGAGGCCAGTGTGGCTGAAGCGGAGTGGGCAGCAAAGACGAGACAACCTCAGGACGGAGAAGAGGCAGGCACTGGCTGTGTAGAGCCGCGTGGCTGTAGGGTTCAGTTTGACTGGAAGCGCCATGGCAGCCCCTGAAGGTTCGGAGCAGAAGAAGGACGTGGTCTGATTTCCATGGTTCAAAGGCCTCCTGGTTGCTGGTGGGGGATGGATTGCAGGGGCCAAGGTGGTGCAGGGGAGCTGAAAGGAGGCTGGTAGATGGTGGTCTAAGGGGGTAGTGCAGGGGAAGGTGGGATGAGACTGTGGGCCAGGGCTGGGCTGGGTCTTAAAGATACTGTCACAGGGCATGAGGATGATGAGCAGGAGAGGGAAACGGAAAGGACCAGGATGGCACAGATGACTGAGACTGAGTATGCTGGCAGCTGGCGTATTGAGCACGGCCCCTTGCACACAGTAAGTGCTGTAAACACTGCCGATTGGGAAATCATCGTGTTCTATACTAAGCACCACCTTCTAAAGGGACCAGCCCTGCAGACCAACGGAGCAGCATTTCTGGTCTCAGATTCCTGGGCTGGCCAAATGAGCTCTGAGGGGAGAACAGAGGACTCCAAGCAGGAAGGACCCCAAGGCCGTCGTGCTGCCCAACACGTGCGGTGACAGTATAATCTGGATGACTTGCCCAAGGTCACTGGGCTTGTTAGGGGCAGAGTGGGACCTGGAAAGCCAGTCTCTTGACCCTGTAAAATGCCCTCTGGGATCCAAAGTCTGAGATTCCAGGTGGGAGTCCTTCTCTGGACCTCAGGGCTTCAGTAGCAGAGTCCAGCCTCCGAGCCGCTGTGCTTGCTGTTACCTTCCTGAAGCCTCCCGTGACCTTCGCACGCCACTTGGCCTCTCTCCACCCTCTCACCACAGCAGTTCTGCAGAGGACACACCTCCCTGGGCCTGCAGGGTTTCCCAGGGTTGGCCATCCCTAGGGTCAGGTCATCACCATTGCCTCATCTCCTTCCACAGCCAACTTGGAAAGACTCCCCAGCCTTGTGCCAGGAGAGGCTGGCACAGCTGCCAGAGCCCAACTCCGTGGCGCCACAGGCCCACACAGGGACTGCCCTGGCTCCTGGTGGCCAAGCCGCACAGGACAGAACCACCTTTCCTGCTGGGACACAGCCCAGGCGGAATCCCCCTTTCTTCCTCCTGGACCAATCGGATGTGAGTCAGGGACCCTCTCATGAACAATTTTCCTCTCTTCCTCCTCCCCTGCTATGAGGCCAGGAGTGGCCTTAGACCTACATGGCAGGGGAGGCAAGGTGGAGCCAGTTGGAGCAAATGCCCAACCAGCCTTTTGCCTGGTAAGGTCACCCAGGAGCCTCAAGCCAGCAGGCATTCCTTCCTCCATCCCCAAGGGTCTGGCTTATGCTAGCCCCCGACTCGGGACACAGACTTTACACTTAACCTCAAAGCAGCCCCTGCCTCACTTGGGGCCAAGTTCAGACAAGAGGCAATCAGGGACTTAAGTGGCTGCCAGAGAAGGCCAGCCGCCTGGTTATTAAATATTAAGTGGCAAGAGCCTGAGAACGTGTAATTGCAAATGAGACTCTGAGGCAGATGTTGCCAACAGCTTGGACTGGCGCATGCAGTTGGGACCGACAGGGGATTTCAAGTCACCAAGCCAGGCTGCTGGCAAGGGCCCCACATTTGCTGCACCCCACGCTGCTGGATGCCAGGGCCTGAACTGGACGCTACAGGTAAAAGGATTAATCAGACACGGTTCCAGCTTCAAGAGGTTCTCTGCCTGGTGAAGAAGACAAAGTAGGCAAGCACTCACAACCAAAGGTACTCTCGGCGTGGTGTGGGCCCCAGGGAAATATCTAGGGGGGGTTGGAGAATTGAGGCTTTAGAGTGAAAATGAGCTGACTTTGAAGCATACATCAGTCAGTCAGTCAGTAAACATTGGTTCAATACCTACTGTGTGCCAAATGTTGTAGACTGGGGGAAATAAAGTATTAAATAAGCTCAACCTTTTCTTTTTTTTTTTTTTTTTTTTTGAGACGGAGTTTCGCTCTTGTTACCCAGGCTGGAGTGCAATGGCACGATCTCGGCTCACCGCAACCTCCGTCTCCTGGGTTCAGGCAATTCTCCTGCCTCAGCCTCCTGAGTAGCTGGGATTACAGGCACACGCCACCATGCCCAGCTAATTTTTTTTTGTATTTTTAGTAGAGACGGGGTTTCACCATGTTGACCAGGATGGTCTCGATCTCTTGACCTCGTGATCCACCCGCCTCGGCCTCCCAAAGTGCTGGGATTACAGGCTTGAGCCACCGCGCCCGGCTCAACCTTTTCTTTCATGGTGCTTACAATTGAGTGAGAGCTTGCAGTCCACGGATGAACAAGAGTTTGCACCAGGAAGAAGAGATAGAGGAAAGCGAGCCCATACAAACATTCAGAGGCATGAAGTCAAGTAGATTCGAAGTGAGTAGGGAGTTCACTGCGGCTGGACCTGCGTGAGAGGGAGGGAAGGAGCAAGGGAGGGAGGGAGCGGGGGAGGGGATGGCTAGTAGCCAGTGCCTGAAAAGTGGCCACATTAAGGAGTGTGGGTGAGTCCTGGAGGGTTTCAAAGTACAGTGCAATGCCCTCCCTCAGGGACAGTCCATGGCTCCCAGGATTCCTGAGAGAGGACATAGTCTGGTCTTTGAAGCAGTAAGAGGAAGCAGACATCCCACTGAATATCCAGGAGCATGCCTGCGGCTGCCTGGTCAGCCACCCACCCCCACCCCAGGCTGGGAGGAGCCCAGAGAAGCCAAGCGCCGCCCCTTTACTCTCCCCACCCCTGCAGCCTGTGCCAGCTCCTGAACTGCTGAGAACAGATCCTGGGAACACAGGTGCCTTTGTCTTTGCCAGGAACTCAGTCCCTGCGGAAGGTGGCGGTGGGGAGAGTGATATGAGACCCCCGACCCTTCAGGCAAGTCCTCGTCCAGCAAGGGAGCCAGGAACGATTCCAGTGCAACACTCCCAAGAATGTCCCCACTGGCCGGACCTCTATCTCAACCGCCCTGCCCAGAGCCAGGGTGGGGTGGACTGGGTGAGCTCTCAGGTCGTTCCCTGGCCAGGATTCTATACAAAGAGAAGGGGGACGAGAAGAGCTGCGTGTGCACATGAAGATGCCGAAATCCCAGGAGGATTAGAGTCCTTGAAGAGGTTCTAAGAGTCTAGAGTTGCATTCGGCTGAGATTCTAGAATTCCACAGGTCTAAAATTCCAAGATTTTAGAATCCTGTGATTCTAAGACTCTTACTTGATTAGGGGAGGGAAGACATCATAGTCATCACATCCTCTTAACAAAATTCACGCCTCTGGAAAGAACCCCACACCCATAACTCCAAAGCCTAGCAGGCTTGTTTTCCCCCTTTCTGCCTTTAAATTGTCTTTTCGCTCTTCGGTGTCTGCTCATCTGCACACCCCTCTCCACAGTCCCTCCTCCAAGCCTGGCAGCCACACATTTGCCATCTGCATATAACCCAGTGATTAGCACAGCAGAGTAGGAGAGGAGGGTGTGGAACCCATGCTGCCTGCCAGTCAGATGGTCTTAAGTTGACCAGGCTGCAGCGAGTCACCCCAGCTCCCTGCAAGGGCTGAGCAGGGAAGGTAAATACACTCCTGCAGATTCAGACACACACACAGCAAGACACACAAAGGAGGGCCCCAGGCACACAGACACACAAAGACACAGAGGGAGACGTGCACACACACACAGACAGTGCAAACAGCACACGCCCACACATGTGCAGCACTCACGCCCATGCAAACAAACCAGACAGACACACAACCCCACAGTGACATACACCTGGACACACAGGCATGCAGAAACACAGAGAAAGACAGGCACAGCACATATGCATACCTGCAATGCAACATAGACATACACACCCAGTCATGCACACGCTCGGAGATACAGCCACACAGCAAAACACACGATGCATGTATACAAACACATGTACAAACACATGCAAATAAATCTAAACAAATAGATACAGACTCAACACGGGCCAACACACTCCCAGGGAAACAACAGCACTGAGTTATTAGCACACCCTCCAAATGAGAGTTGTCAGAATCACCCTTCTCCTCCCCAACTCCCACTCCCTCTCGTTCATGGGACGGTATTTACGGCCCACTCTGCACGTGACCTGGCACTGGGCCCCTGGGAGATCCCAGGGCTCTGACACAGTGTAGTAAAGGGAGGAGCAGTTCAGTCCCTGGGAACTCAGAGGCAGCTGGAATACAGATAGGCACTGGGTTCAGGAAACCATTGCCAGAACTGTGCAAAATGGATTGCCTGGAAAGGTAGTGAGCTCCTCACCACAGGAGGCAACCTAGTGCAACCAAGGGTTTTGGGCATCAGATGGGAGAGTGGGTACCAGGAGAATTAAAAACCTTTAAAATCTATTTGAGCCCTGAGAGTCTCTATTTCTCTCAATTCCACTGAGCTTCAAAACAGTGGTCTTCACATTTTTTGTGTCACATTCCCTATCAGTGAAAACATTTTAAACATGTATTCCTAAATGTATGTACATTTGATATTTTTTACAAATTTTATTTCTTTGTTATGTACTTCACAGAACACACACACAAATAGAAAAATTTGAAATAATGAGATAAAGGTACATAGATCACTACTTTAAAGGACAGGAGGAACTGAAGGAAAGTGATATAACATTTATTAAGTTCCCCCTGTGTGCTAGACTTTTGATAAATATTATTCTTTTGAATCTTCAAAGTAGCTCTGTAAAGAAGCTATCATGATTTTGCCATTTTGCAGATGAGAAACTAAATGACAAGGCAAATAAAAAAATCCTTTCCCCCAGTCTTGCCACCTGTAGCTGCCAGGGCTGGAATCTGGACGCAAGTAAGCACCTCTGGAGCGCGCTGCCCACACTGACCACTTCCACGTCATGCAGCAAGCATGGAGCTGGGGCAAGACCCATTTGGTTTTTGTAGGCAACAGGCTGAGTGGAAGGGCAGCACAGTTTGTCAAGAGCCCTGAATGATGGCCTCAAGCCAAACAGCAGGTATGATTCTCAAACCACAGGCACAGCTGGGCCAGATGTGGCCATTTCTTTCCTTTAAATCTTGGCTGCTCAAAGTGCAGTCCAGGGACCAGCAGCTTCAGCCTCCCCTGGAAGTTTGCTAGAAATGCAGAATCTTGGCCCCACTCCAAACCTACTAAGTCAGAATCTGCATTTAATAAGAATAAAGTTTGAGAAGCCCTGAATTACTTAAATTCACCTGGTCTATGAATGTATCCCATGGGGATGATGTGAAGGAAGCCCAAACTTGGTCATTCTTGGGGCTCCCTCCTCTCCAGAGCCTGCCCAGTTCCAGGACCTTAGAGAGTCTCTGGGCATTTGAAGTGGCTTCCAGGAATCTGTCCACACTGCTTGTCTGCAGCTCCCATCTGGCTCTGAGTAAAAGCTGAAGGCCTCACCTTGGCCTGCACGGCCCAGCAGACTGAGCCCTGCTTCCTCTCCAACCTCATCTCCAGCCTCACTCCTGGCTAGCTTCCTGGGTGCCCGGCTGCCTAGCTGCCCTTGAACTTGCCATTCCAGGGTCTTTCCACTGGCTGCTCCTTTCACCTAGTGTTCCTATGGTTCTCCTTCATGCTTTCTTTAGGAAACTCCACTTCCTGAGTTGTAGAAGTTCAGTCAGTGTGGTGGGAAAAATTGTAAAATGGACGCAAACCTTCTTGGAAGGCCGGAAGGTTTTGCAAAAGCCTCGGGAAGTTTATGGCTGAAGGCAGCCATGCTCTTATCTCAGGGCTAGGAAGTAGGGCAAGTTACAAGGGAGTGCAAAGGAATGTATCTAGAATAGTTTGATCTAGATTAGCTTATTTACCTGTTTCCCTGAAACCAACCTTTGACTATCCGCAGGCAAAAGTGTTTCCTACTTGGGGAGGGGAGGGGTTGGCAAAGAGAATTACCCACAAATGGTGTTTGCTTTAGGCCCTTGTCATTAAATCTGTCTAAATAAAGGCCCATGGGGCTGGCTTGTGGGGGCCGCCATTGCTGACTTTACAGAACCCTCCTCAGCGTCTGTGAGTAGCCCAGACCCCTAGCCTACTCTTTCACTGGCTATCTGTGTCTGAGTACATTTGTTTATCTGTCTCTGGATCAGGGTCTTTGGGTTGGACCCGATACTGAGTGAGACCTCTAATGCATAGAATAGCATCCCCTCCCCCCAACTCATACATTTATCTTTCTATCCCCCCACTAGAATGTGAATGCTGAGTGCAAGAACTGTGACCATCTCATTTCCAGAATCCAGCCGAGCCCCTGGCCGTAGTAGGTGCTCAATAAACATCTGTTGACTGATGGAGGCTGTGCCCACTGTCCCACCCTAGTGGACCCCCATCTCAGCCACGCTGTGGGGCTGTGGGGTCTTCCGTGAGGGCAGAGGCCTTAAGACCCAGGTATGGTTTTCTGGAGCCACCATGAGGCCTTGTCCCCACACCTCCCCCAGTCCTGCTGGGGTGGGGGCAGCACCCCCTGACAGCCTGACCCCTTCTAGCTCCTCCAATGTGCTTGCCCCCAACCTCTCCCAGTCCTTCCAGGGAATCTCTTTGGTTTTAGACTTTACTAAAGACTAAGGGGCCTTCATTTTTCTACCTAAATCCCTGCAGCACCTGCTTACTAAGCCCAACTATTTGCTTGAAGCTGAGAAGAAACATAAAGAAGACAGACTAATATTTTCTAACTTGGCTTGTCATGCCTACAGGCCGTGAGGGCTCCAGCCACACATTTCCCTCTCTGTGCCTCAGTCTCCTCACCTATCCATGGGGACAGTTACCACTTTTTTTACTGAAGAGGGAATGAGACTCGGTGAGAAAGAAAACTGCAACGGTGGAATTTCAGGTATGAACCAGCCCAGGGTGGCAGGCACGGGGGCAGCAGGGTGTGACTTGGGAGTGAGGAGGAGGACTAAGGGATTTGCTATCAAAATAATATGGGTCTATGGCCTTGCTGTGCCACTAGCCCAGTATATTGATCAGGTAGAGCTGCTGTTTACTCATCTGTATAATGGGTATGGCATGGCTATGAGGCTCCCGTCAGGTACAGGCCAAAGGGCTCTGGGAGATTTCCCAACCCACTTCCCCCCTTGCTCCAGTGGCAGCATGAAGGCTGCTGTGGCCACCTGCTACGCAGAGGCCATGATCCCGATCAGAAGCTGCAGCAGCAGAGCAAGTGGTATATGTGTCGTTTGGGCTTTCCCTGAGAGCCAAGCCAGTTCCTGCCCAAGGACAGACACTTCCTCTCTCCGGTACAGGAATGAGGCCAACCAGAGTCTTGGCTTCCCTGCCTGGGAAGGCAGCTGGGAGTTCAACGAGGACAACTGTTCCTCCAGGAAACCCAGGCCAAGCCAGGCCCTCGGGTGGTGCAGCCTGAGCCCCTGGGTCCAGCCGCCAGTGTCCTCATGGACAGAGCTGCATCCTGCTTCTGGTTTCCTGCTTTCTGCTCCTTCTTTCACTCTATCAGCAGTTTTTACTTGAGGCCCTACTCTGTGTGGGCTCAGCTCCAGGTGCTGGGGAACAAAGGCAAAGACCTCGCATGGATCTCAAAGATGAGTGGGAGACAGCCACGCAACCGTCAGTGTATAACATTGATATGCTGTCAAGAAATGCAAATGCTATCAAACAATAAGTGGAGTAGGGAATAGGAAGTGAGGGGACTGTTTTAGCTGAGTGGTCAGGATATGCTTTTCTGCAGAGGTGACATCTGAGCAGAGACCCCAAGGAAGGGTCAGGGGCAAACTAGGCAGCTAGCTGGGAAAGAGCGTTCTAGGCACAGGGAACAGCCCGTGCAAAGGCCCTGAGGAAGGCACCTGCTGGACATGTTAAGGGATACTGAGATGGCGAATTGACTGGAGTGGAGCGAGCAAGTGAGAGAGTGTGGGGAGACTAGGTCAGTGAAGGGGGGATCACGTGGGGCTTTTTAAGCGGCATTGAGAATTTCAGGTTTTACTCCAAGAGAAGGAATGGAAGACTATTGGGAAGCTTTCACTGAAGAAGCAACAAGGTGGGGAGTCCAGGGAGGAAGCTGGGGGCCAGTGAGGAGGTAACTGCACTAATCCAGGTGAGAAATGGAAGTGCTGAGGCCAGAGTCTGACGCAGGTGGGAAGGAGTGGTTGGATTCTGGATTTATTTTGAAGGTAGAGCCAAGAGGGTTGGCTAGCAGGGAAGGAAGAAAAAAAGGTGAGTGAAGGAGGGCAGCAAGGTGCCTGAGAAACTGCATGAACAGAATGAGATGGCGCAGGCAGCAAATAGCATTCTCAGCTGCCATGCGTTGGTACGTATTTTCTCTGTCTCTGTCTCTCACTCTCCTTTTTATGCATTAATATTGCCCTCTTCTATTTTCAGAGGAGAAAACTGAGGCTGAGACTCCCTCGAGATCACACAGAGAGTGAAGGGGAGAGCCTGGAATTGCATGCATATCTCTTAGCCACTGAGCTATATATTGTCCCATCAGAACCGGAGTTAGGGTCCTCTGCTCATTCCTTATTTCATCCACCAGATCCTTGTGTGTCTAGGTCCTGTCAGCAGGCCCGGTACTGGGCACCACAGAAGGACCTGGAAATCATCAAGCCAGCACCTCAGTGGTGATGGAGACCCAGAGAGGGCACTGTGGGGCATCCCAAGCTCATCCTAAGCAAGTAGAAGTCAGCATGTGCAGCAGTCGGGAGCAGGGGCTAGGGAATGAGAGCTCCTGGATTCAAAGCCTGTCTCTGGAGCTCTCAAGGTGTGTGCTCTTGGACAAGCTGCTTAAGCTGTCTATGCCTCAATTTTCTCGTCTGTGAAATGTGGGTAAGAACTGTGTCCATGTAAGAGAATCATATGGAGGCATCATGAGAGAACGTGCTGAAACCCTTCAGGCCTGGGGCTTAACGTGTGCTCCTATGTTTAGCTGTGATTAGTACTATTAGGGAGAATCAGCACTCAAACCCAGCTCTCTCAGTGATGGCTGAGGCAATCAGCTTTCTGCCCCTCCAACACCACCGGTACAGAGGTGCTGGGGAGGGCTTCTCTCAGCTCAGCACAGCTGGGCTCGGCTCTGGGTGGAGCCACATCCCCAGAGCCTGAGAACAGTGTTTAGGTCCTGACAGTGTGGTCCCACCCCTAATGGGCTCCGGTGAGCTGCCTGCCTGCCGAGTTGCTCAATTGCTGACTTCCCCAGGAAAGCACTAATTACAGCAAGGCTCCCTCGGGTCCTGGCTTGGTGATCTGTCACAGCCCCTCGGCTTCAGAGCACTGGCTGCAATCTCTGAGCGCATGGCTGTCCTGCCCTCTGCCTTTCCCGTAAGGGTTGGACAGAAACCAGAGAGATGGACAGATCCCCAACCAACAGGGAAACTGGGGCTGGGCTTACAAAGGAGCCTCACCTTGGCCTGAATGGCAGTCAAAGTGTGATCCCTGAATCAGCAGCGTCAATACCACCTGGGACCCTGTTAGAAATGCAAATTCTCAGACCTTACCTAAGACCAACTGAATCAGATACTCCATGGCTAGGGCCGTGGAATCAGTGTTTTCACAATCCCCCTGGGCTGTTGCTGTCAGCTCAAGTTGTAGAACCAAAGCTCTGATTCCTGTGCAGCTGTGGTTAGAGGGAGGCCTATGGAGAAGCGACTTTGAAGTGGGATGGATAGAAGCGCAGGCTCATAGAGACCCACCTTCAAATCCAGGCTGTGCCAACTCCTTATCCTGTGATCGGATCGTAGGCAGAGCACTTCATTTACTTACTTATTATTTTAATTTATTATTATTATTATTTTAGAGGCAGGGTCTTGCTCTGTTGCCCAGGCTGGAGTGCAGTGGAGCAATCATAGGTCACTGCAGCCTGGAACTCCTGGGCTCAAGCAATCCTCCCATCTCTGCCTCCCAAAGTGCTGGGATTACAAGTGTGAGCCGCCATGCCCAGCCCACTTTTTAAATTTAATACGTATCTATTGACAACCTGTTTACTCTTGAAGACCCTGGGGCTGCAGGTCTAGGACAAAACAATGGCAGTGGCCAACACTGTACCTATAATCACTCATTTAACCCTTAGAGGAAACCTCTCAGGCAGGGTCCTATCATTAGCCCAAAGGAAGCGCAGATCATCAAAATAACTTGCCCCAGGTGGCTAGTCTGAGAGACCACTGGATTGCAAGTCACTAGGGTAAACTGACCTGGAGCTAGTCAGGGAGACAAACAAAATGCAGTGAGACACACAATATTAGCAGGTTGTGATGCAGGCTATGGAGATAAAGTTGGGAAGAGGTAGGGCATATTGGGCAGGGGTGGGGGTGCCTAACAGGGTGGTCTGGCAAGGCCTCTCGAGGAGGTGGCATGTGAGCAGAGGCCTCCTGAAGTCTCGGCTGCCTCATCTGTAAAATGAGGGAATTATTAGCTCCCCTTCCTAGGTGTGGTATGAATGTCACAAGTCTGTAAAGCATAGTAGATGCCAAACAGATGGGAATTGTTACCATTTGGAAAACTGAGTTCACGCTGGGCACAGTGGCTCAAGCCTGTAATTCCAGCACTTTGGGAGGCTAAGGCAGGCGGATCACGAAGTCAGGAGATCGAGTCCATCCTGGCTAACATGATGAAACCCATCTTTACTAAAAATACAACACATTAGCAGGGCGGGGTGGTGGCTGCCTGTAGTCCCAGCTACTCAGGAGGCTGAGGCAGGAGAATTGCTTGAACCCGGGAGGCAGAGGTTGCAGTGGGCCGAGATCACACCACTGCACTCCAGCCTGGGCAACAGAGCAAGACTCCATCTCAAAAACAAAACAAAAACAAACAAACCCCACAACTGAGATTACCCTTACTGGACACAGCAGGGGCTCAGTAAGGCCACTCCCATCTCCCGTCCCAGAAGCCCCGCCTGCTCTCCAGCCTGATCAGCAGCTCCACTTGGGCCAGTTGGTTCCCTGGTCCAGGCTGCCCAGGAGTCCATGCTGTTTTTTTATTGTTCTGGCTCCACAGCTGAGACCTCTAACTCCAAATGGCTCTTCTTGCCCAAAAAAATAGGTCGTTGGCAACTCCAGCCTCCTGACCGGCCCCACACAAAGGCAGTCTGGCAGGCCTGCCTGCTGACGCCAGCCCAGGGTTATGGAAAGTGGGGAGCAGAGCGTGGGCAGGGCTGCAACCAGGTGGAGCTGGGCTGTGCACGTGCCAGCATGCCCCACAGGGTGGCCCTGGTCAAGTCGTGTTATCTCTGGACGTGTTTCCTCACCTCTGGGAACCCCCTGGAGTTGCTGAGGCTTCAGCACGATAACATATCTCAAAGGGCCTAGAATACATGAGGGTGCCAAAGGCAAAGGCCAAACTCCAGAGGGGCCCCACCATGACATCACGGCTGCTTTCACATCCTTGTCACTATTGACCCCTCATAACAGACTTTGTTATTCCTATTTCACAAATGAAAAGATTGAGGATCAAATTTTTTTTTGCATAAGTCAAATTGGCAAAATCTTGGCTCCCAAGCCCCTGATCCTCTCCTACTCGTGCTCATTTGTCTTCTTCCTTTGACGACAGGGAAGGAATGTGATCTGACTTCTGTGCAAGGATTCCGCGGGCTGCTGAGGAATAGACAGAAGGCACCAGGTGGAAATAGGGCACCCAGGTGAGAGCGGTGGAGGCTCAGACGGAGGGCGGGAGCAGCAGAGGTGCTGAGAAGTGGTTCGGCTCTGGATGTGATGGGAAGGCCCAGCAGGCAGGATTGGCTGACAGATTGTGCCCTCTAGGAGTGAGAGGAAGAGTCAAGCAGCAAACGCAGGGACGCCGCCACCCCCGGCTTCCCATCTCACCTCCTCAGTGAGACGTTCCTTGATCCATTTTCAAAATTGCACCCTAGCTCGCTCATCAGCACACCTGGGCCCCTTCCCTGGCTAATTGCCCCCACCCCGTAGCACCTATCCCATTTCACGTACTTATTGGTTCTTTTCCTCCCAATAGAACGTCAGTTCCTTGAGGGCAGGGATTTTTTATCTTTTTTCCAACTGTTGCATTCCCAGTGGCTGGCACCCAGCAGATGCTTAATAAATATTGTTGAGTGTATGAATGAATATGTATGAAGGTAGTTAGATTTTAACACAGGGCAGCCCAGACCTCCTGCTGTGGGGGTGGCTGATTCATGTCAATCATCTGCCATAATCTCTGGCCTCAGACAAGTTGCGCTTCACCTCAGTTTACTCATGGCCCGTGGGTCTCAATGGCTTCTCAGGTTTGAGGTTGGCCAAGGATGATTTTTATGTGGACAGAGAACAAGGGTCAGGGCCCTGTCCTGGGGGAGAGGTGTGGATGAAAAGCCCTCGTGTAGGGAAGCCCTGCTGAGCGCCTTTGCCAAAGGTGCTATATATAAATAGCAGGTGCTTCAATTATTATCCTTCCCTAATCCCTAGTTTCCTAATCCCCAGGCATGTTTGTGAGTGTGTGTGTGTCTTGGGGAACAGTGAACAGCAGAGCCTTCTGGAAGTCCAGGGCAGCAAGCTGCCTCTTCTCTGATCTCATCAGCAGCCCCCATCTCCACTCCTACCCCAGATGGAGTCTGGTGACAGATTTTCCCAGGAGCCTCCCTGGTCACCTTCATGGTCTAGACCAGATTCGGCCTGAAGAGTTGGAGACCTTCCCTGCCCCCACCTCAGATACCAGGATAACCCAGAACAACCTCCTTTCTCATTGGTGCGCAAATCCACGCTCCCCTCTCTCCAGTCCTATGTTTGCAGAGTGGCCTTTTAGACACAAATCAGACATGGCCCTCCCCTGCTGAAATCCTCTAGGGGTCTCCCAACTGCAGAATAAACGAAGGCTCTTCACCCAAGCCTTGGACACCATCCCACCCTCCCCCATCCTCTATGTTGTGCTCTGGGGCCTAGCCACCTGGGGCCTTCCCCTGTCTTGGGCCCTCTTCCTGGAACACCTTTCTCCCCAGATCTTTGTCTTGCTGACCCTTGTTGTGATTCAGCAACTCATGTCTCAGGTAGGTCTTACTGGCCCTCTTATCTAAATATGCTCACCCCTCTCCCTCTCTAAGTTCAATCTTCTGCTGTTCATTAATTATTTCTAGCTGTCCACTTATCTGTCTCCTCTACTAGAATATAAATTCCTCATGGACAGGGACCTTGTGTGGGTCACTGTTGTGCTCTCCCACACCCAAAGAAATGAAGATTCCCTTGCACTTCAAATGCTGCCCCAATCCCTGTGGGTTCTCAAGGACTGCTGTCAAACACTTCACTTATTTATCAAATACTTATGTTGCACTTGGTATGTGCTAGGCTCTTTTTAATATGTCTTACGAATATTAACTCCTCTAATCCTCACAATTGATACTCACGCTGGCCTCGTTTCAGATGAAGCTGAGGCACAGAAGAGGTAAGGTATTTTCCAAGTCCACACAGCTCATAACAGTAGCCATGGGATTTGAACCCAGGGAGTTCAGTCCATGGTCTCAAGCGTGGCACCCTCCCTGCCCCCCTGTCTTAGCACAACATCAGGACCAGGCATTTAACCAAAAGACTTGGGGCAGGAAGGGAGGTGGTGGTGTTACTTTGCATAGGTCTTTAGCCTGGGAATCAGAAATTCAAATCTTGGATCCACCCCAGGCCTTGCAGTGTGGCCTTAAGCAAACCTACTCCCTCTCTGGGCCTCCACTTTCTGTCTATTTACAGGGCTGAGACTTCTCCCACCTTGCATCATTCCTATCCTCTTAACTGCCACTGTGGGCAGCAGAATTCCCTCCCATCCGCAGCGGGTCTTGAACTTGTGTTCCTCCCACAGTGCGGAGCCTTCTTCTGCCAGGTGACCACGACCCTGGCACTCCCTGTCACTGACCTGGCTGCTACGGGCCCGGTGTTCCCTCCAGGAAAACCAAGGTTCTGTCCTCTCCAACTCCAGGCCACCGGCCTCCGCTCCGCTTCCCCTCCTCTTCCTCAGGGCCTGTCCTTCTCCTGGAACCCAGACCTTCGGGGCCCGCTCTCCCGCACACGCCCCGGCCTGGGCCTCCCCACTCCCTCAATCTGCCCTCCATCACCGGGACACCCGGCCAGGGCGCTCCCACCTCCCCGGGAAGGCCCCCGGCCCTTCCACTCCGGTTCCCCGCCACAGCCCCCTTCTCGCTCCCTCTCCTCCCCGCGCCTCTTTTCCAGGCGGCACCGAAGTCCTTCCTACACACACGCTATTTTTGGACCATCGCTCTCTTCTTCCTCTCCCCTTCCCCCTGCGTTCACTTACTTCCTCCTTTTCCTTCACCTCGGCCCGGCTCTGAAAGGATCGGGGCCCCTTCGGCCCGCACCCACCCCCAAGAGGGGCGTCCAGCTTTGGGCGCAGGGGCACGGCCTCTTGGGGAGGGGCAAAGGCAGGCACCCCCCACCCCCGCGCCTCCACTCCCCGACTCCTTCGCCGCCTCCAGCCTCTCGCCAGCGGGCAGCGGGTACTAGCCGCGCGCGGCCGGAGTCCGGAGGCGAGGGGAGGTTGGCCGCAACTTCCCCAGTCCACCTTAAGAAGACGATGTAGCCAGCTCGCGGCGCCGACCTTAGAAAAACAAGTTTGCGCAAAGTGGAGCGGGGACCCGGCCTCTCGGCAGCCCCGGCGGCGCTCCCAGTGCCTTCCAGCCCTCGCGGGCGGCGCAGGTCCGAGCCTGGCAGGGACAGGGAGGGGCAGAGCGGGACGGGTCGGGGCTGGGGACGAGCCGCGCGGGCTCCTGAACTGGCACATTGTCGGAGCCGGAGGCTAGTCTCGTCCCGAGCCCGAGCGGCCTGCGGCGGCTCGCGGGGCCGCCTCCCCGGCATTAGTCGGGGGCCCGCGCGGGGGTGCCGGGGCCCGGACGTCGGCGCGGGGGGCGACGCTGCCCTCCCCGGCCGGGCGCGCAGCGCGCAGCCCTCGCTCCCTCCCCTGGGGCGCGCTGCTGGCGGACGCGCAGGCGGGCGCTCGCTCGCCGAGAAGGTGCCGGCGGGGCCGGAGCCCCGAAGCCTCCCCGGGCGGCGAGAAGACGGGAGGAGGGGGGAGGGAAGAAGGGAGGGGGCCGGGTTGCCAGGAGGGCGGGGGCAGCGGCCGCGACTGCGGGCCGGGAGCTAGCCCAGCCGCCCGCGCTGCGAGGATCCCGGGCGGGGCAGGTGGGCAGCGGCGGGGGCGGCTCTGCGCGGCCGAGCTCGGCCGTGCTGCCCCTCGCCCCTGCCCGCGCGGTCCTCTCTCCCGCGCTGTCTGTCTCGGTCTGCGCGCCGCCTCGCTCACTCCTCGCTCGCTCGCTCGCTCGCTCTCCCCCTCTTTCTCCCCCTCTCGCCTCTGTGTCTCTGGCTCTCTGCCTGGCTCCCTTGGGTCTGTTTCTCTCTCCTGCCGCCTCTTTCTGGCCACCCCTGGCTTTATTTCTCGCGCGCTTGGGGTCTCCTCCCTTCTCCGTCTCTCGATTTCTCCTGGGGGCCGGGGGGGGGTGGTGCTCTCCAAAAATCGCGGCGGTGACGGCGGCTCCTAAGCCGCTCCAGGCGCCCGTTCCGGAGTCGGGGGGAGGCCTAGCTGGGAGGGGGGAAGAGGGGGAGCCTTAGTCATTTCCCCGCTCCAGCCTGCTCCCGCCCGAACGCGCACTCACGGCCGCTCTCCCTCCTCGCTCCGCAGCCGCGGCCCATGGAGCCCGCCGGCCCGGCCCCCGGCCGCCTCGGGCCGCTGCTCTGCCTGCTGCTCGCCGCGTCCTGCGCCTGGTCAGGTAAGCACCCCCGCTTCCCACCGCTGCCCTCCCCAAACTGCAGGCTCAGGCCTCTCAGACTGGCACTGGGACCCATTCAGCTAATGCCGAGCAGTAATAGGAGGAGAGACGCCAGGAGCCAGGATTACAGATGCAGAAACTGAGGCCCAGAGAGGGCCAGCGACATGCCCAAGGTCACACAGCCAAGGGTAGAACCCAGGTCTCTTCTAGGAGAGTTTGTCTCTGTGGACTCTGATTGTGTGCACAGTGCTGGGCACTGAGACAAAAGAGCTGAGTTGCTTCACTCAGCCCCTGCCCAGTCCAATGGGGAAGGCTGACTGACAGTGGCTTTCAGAGCAGGGCGGTCCGGCTTCCCCAGAATCTCTCCTCCTGGACGTCTGCTTTCCACATGTTTGACTTCAGGGTGTTAGGGGAGGAGGTGAGGGCAGAGGTCTTCCCAACGCTGCCTGGAATGGAACAGAGACAAGCTGTTGCAATTAGGAAACAGTGAGTCCTCCCTCTGGTGCGCAGAGTAAACCAGTATTAGTGTGTGCCCGGGAGAGGGGGAACAGGGAGGCCGCGGTAACCCCAGAGCGAGCTGCTGCGAGCAACAGATCCTTATGTAAAAACACGGTGGATTGTCCCTGTGGTTGCCAAAGCCTCTCCCTGGTGGTCTTGCTCCTTGAGGCGCTCCCAGCTCCCACTTCCTCCTGCCTTCCCCGAGCTTGCAGGCAGCTCCCTGCAGTTCAGGTGCTCCGCGGGGATGTTACCTGTGGCTCTGAGCATGTCTTTCTCTTGCCCTACATCAAACACCTGGCTGTCGCCGGCTGGCGGGCTCTGAAGGCTACTGTGTGTGTTCACCAAGGAGTGAGGTCACCGTTCAGGTGTCCTGCTTCTTAAACGGGTTTTGCAAAACCACGGGTCTCCTGGGAGGGCACTGGGTGAGGGTGGGGGCGGGGGCAGGGGAGAGCAGAGAAATGGCGTTAAGGGAGTTGGGAGGGATAGAAGAATGGGGATCTTGTTTTTTGTCCTCTTGAAGCTGTGTTGTAGGCAGAGGGGTCTCTGTACCTCCCACCCTGGAGGAGGGAGGGAGGGATGAGCTCAGTGTCCAACACCCCCTTGTGCGTTTGCCTAGAGATGGTAACCATCTGATAGCAGGGAGAAAAGGGAGAACTAGCAAAGAGTGGGTGGAAGGAGAAGTGGGAGGGGGTGGACAGCTGCTTCTCTCTGCCCTGCAGTTTCCCCTGAAACCCAGGAATTCACATAGGCACCCCCCACCCCCAATTCTTTTCGGTTACAGTTGGGTCCTTGCTGGGCGGAAGGAAGCACTGATACAGTTCATGTCTCTCCGGTGAGTGGCATCTCTGACTGCTCCTTCCTGCCTGAGCCGGCCATTTGTACTCTGCAAAAGTCCGAGTTTCTGCCCTGCCATCCTTCCTGGCCTGTAAATGCACAAGCATCACTTACAAGTGCTTAATTTTCCTGAAGCAGGGAATTGGGCCTGAGTTGATTTCTAAATGTCTATTCCAGACCCTTCTCCGACCAGGAGCCTGTGGTTCAGTCCCTGGCAAATGAGCAGTGACGCTGATTAACAAGTGTTCAGCTGGGCAGCCTGCCTTTCCCGGGGCACTGGCTGGGAACACCAACACCTTTCTTGTGAGCACATCTCCCCCTTTTGCCTATAAAAACAATCTATAAAATGGTAAAGATTGGGCCATAAAACTTCCGTTCCAATCCATTCAGCATCAATAGCCTGAAAAAGTGGGAGCAGCAGAGGGGCCAAGATTAGCTTTGAAATAAATAAATCTTGGGAGGTAAGAATGAATATCTCGGTGGAGCGTGGTGGGGAAGGGACGGGGTGTGACCACCATAACTCAAGCCTCCCAGCATCCTTCACTCTGTGTTCTTCAGGGTCCTGCTCACACCATGGGCCTGGGCAGGGAAGTCACCTGGTTTGGCTGAAGGATGGGGCCTCAGGCCCCTCCCTCGATTGCTCCAGACATGGAATTTACAACAAAGCAGCAGAGAGACAGGATATGAGGGTAGGAAGGTACAAGGAGGCAGTTGTCCAATTTTCTAAGAAAATGGATTTGTTCGAGTGAGAAACTCAAATGTCAGGTTTAGGAAGGCAGCTTTGGATTGAATGACTACTAGTGTCTCAGGCAGAACTGTCGGCCTGGGAGGTGTCACATGATTGCTGTGTCTTCACATGATCACTGTGTGGGGGGAGGGGGCCAATCATGTGAATTATATTGGGTGGGGGAGGCAAGGGAAGAAGTTTCTAAAGATTGCTTTCAGCACAAATGCTGCCAAAGGGAAATTCTAAAAAGATACCAGTGAAGTCACCAACCTGTGTTTTTGGACCCAATGTGAGGCCTGTTTCCTAAAACAACTGCACTGAGGGAGATTCTGAGGCTGGGAGAAGGGCAAGGGACTGCGGCTTGGGGACATCTGGCACCTGATTTTGTGTCAGCAGGGCCTGATACTGAACCTGCAGGATGCCTGCTTGGCCCCAGCCAGGCCCTGAGACCTCTGAGTCACCCCCTCAGGAAGACCTCACATGAACTCCCATTCATTTCTTCTCTCTGGCATGGAGGAGACCAAGCCAAATTGCAGTTCAGGCTCTGGGGAGCAGGGGTGTCCCTAGTGACTCTCTGATCCTTTGGTAGAGGGTATCACTCTGGGGCTCCTCTGTACTTTCCTAAGCGGTAAAGTTAATCTCACTTCCTCTTTCATAAGAAGAGAAAACGGAGCAGGGCTGCTTTGGCACGACAAGCTCAGGCTGTTGGAAGGTCCTTTAAAGGCACGGTGTTTTCGGAGTACTTTCTGGCCATTAATTATTCCTTTACCAACCCCTCGGAGACTCACGGTGATTCACATCTGTGCTTGCAGTCACGCAGCACCTGTGAAGTGCAGTGTGAACCGTGTGTTGAGAGAAGGGAGGAGAACCAACGTTCATTAAATAGTTAATGGCATTCCAGGCTGGGTGCTGCACCTGCATCATCTCATCCGCAAGGCACGAGTTGGCACTTACCCCATTTTGCAGATGTGGAAAATCGAGTCCCAAACTGGGGAAGTAACTTATAAGTGATAGAGTGGAGCCAGGATTTTGGATGCTGGCCTTCCCACTGGGTGGCTTCTGAGGGAAGAAGATCAGCATCTTAATCAGGATGATTTAGTCCAAGCTGGGAAGGGAGTGAGAGAGGCCCCTCTCTGGGCTTGGGTGGAGGATTGTGGAAGAGTTCTTTCTCTGGGCAGAAGGTTTTGACCAAGTCACAAGCATTTCTTGGAAAGCCTGCTGAGGGTGGAAGCACGGACAGCCCCTTGGTCCTCACAAATGATAATGCTTGAGGGGTGATGTGGCTCCTGTAAGGAGCCCCCCATCTGGGCTGCTGAGCTCTGGAGCCCCCAGAGCTGGAATATTCCTCCCTGCATCTTCCTGGTGCCCTTTGCGACAGATGGAGAGGGGGTGTGGGAGAGGAAGGGAGTCTAAAAGTGTTGTACGGATCCCACACGCGCTCGCTTGCTGCTTCCAATGGCTCCGTGCGACAGGTTATTTTCTTATTTGTAGTCTTGGACTGACGGAAGGCTCCCCCCCCCCAGCTCTTTTGAAATGTGCTCAGATTTCTGGCCTGTCAACACAACTCAGATCATGTCACTCCCCAGCTCAAAACTGTTGAGTGGGTCCAAGTTTTCTTTAAAAAAATCACAAAGCTGCCGCGAGGCCTGGGCTTCCTCCCTGCCAGGCCTGATTTCCAGCCACATGTTTTCCAACGAGCTGACCTGTTGAGATGCTGCGGGATAACCAAGCTTCCTTCCTGCACACCAGAGCTTTACTGGCCACTCAGCCACGCGAGCACCTCAAAGACCCTGAGGAGTCCTGCATTGTAGAATCCGGAGCTGGGTCACGTTTACTCCAGTGTTCCCTGAACAAGAGGCGTTTGATTTGTAGAACACCCATTAGCATGCGGCCTCACTCAGTTGAGTAAACGCTTTTGTATGGATCCATGCCCTCAGCTGAACTCTGAGCTCTGTGCCTCGGCCCGTGCCGTTCCTGCCATCAGAAAGGCCCTTCCTGTACCTCCTTGTCTTCCTATGTCCGAATCCTACTCACCCTTCCTGGTTCAACTTAATGTGCCTCCTGGGCGGAGGTCAGAGGAGCCTCTCCACGCAGAGAGACAACCTAGCCTAGTGCTAAGACAGTGCCAGGACCCCTGGGTGTTGATCCCAGCCCTGCTACTGACTTGGACAATTTGAAGAAATCTCTGTCTTATTTTGCTCATCAGTAAAAGAGGAATGGTATTAATCACTCTATTGTAAGGATTAAGTTGATGCATGTATAATGCTGGAAGCCATGCCTTGTATGTAGTAAGCACTCAATATATATTAACTAGTGTTGTAATTAGCATGGCTTGATTCTGTTTTGATTCTTCATCTATAACATTGGAAGAGATTTTCATAAAGCATCTAGCATAGTTTCTCACACACAGTGGGTACTTAAAAAACAGCAAAGGCTATTCAGTGAACGAAGTCCTTCAGTTTGATATTTTCCTTGTAGCTTTTTTTTTTTTTTAAGACAGAGTTTCGCTCTTGCCCAGGCTGGAGTGCAATGGCATGATCTTGGCTCATGCCATTGAGCCCTCAACCTCTGCTTCCCAGGTTCAAGCAATTCTCCTGCCTCAGCCCCCCAAGTAGCTGAGATTACAGGCATGCGCCACCACGCCAGGCTAATTTTGTATTTTTAGTAGAGATGGGATTTCTCCTTGTTGGTCAGGCTCGTCTCGAACTCCCAACCTCAGGTGATCCGCCTGCCTCACCCTCCCAAGGTGCAGGGATTACAGGCGTGAACCACCCCGCCCGCCGTCCCTGTAGCTTTTATGCTGTTGGGGGATGGACAAGTTGAGCAGAAACCCAGGCTAGAGTGATTTAATTGCCTGTTACTAG